GAGGTTCAGTTCAGTTCAGAACTTTTGAACGCCAAGTGGTTCAGTTCAGAACTTGGCTTGGTGGATGTAGTGCTGGTAATCTCAAACTTGCTCCTCTCAACTTCAGTAAAAGAATTCCCGGGATTGGATATATGTGTGCATGCACAGTGGTGTGTGATGGGATGGTCTATTGCTGGTTTAATTAGCTGGGTCTGTACAGTTTAGGCCAGGAACAGAAGCCAGCGGGATGCTCATCATTTGTCACATCCATCTCTACTGAATTATGTTCATCTTTGAAATTTTGGTTCGTTTTCTTTCTGCAGGATGCGTAAAAAAATCGAAGGTAGCAGCTCAAAAAGATGAAACTTGGAAGTCCATTGCCATCTTGAGGTCTGTTAACCTTCAATTTATAAACATATATGCTCAGCTATTTGTCGAAATATGTCTCACTGAAACCTACTGTACAATCCAAATTATCAGTTTTTGTTTGGGTGGGAGTGAGAGAACAAAGCTCCAATATCCACTTAGATAGCACTGCTGGTCTTTTACATTGCAATCTGCACTTACTTGTGATCAACGGAGACTGGCGTGAATTTCCCCTAAAATAGATCCATGTCTGCACCATTATATATAACTCATTTTAGAAATATGCACCTACATATGTTCTCGGACAAGTGGAACCCATGTTAAGATTAAGCATGTCTTTCACACTTCAGCTTTCCTTTAGTATGTGCCTCTATCAGGCTCACTATTGGGAAAGCCCTGTTAGTCATGCACAACATACTATATCTTGAATGAGGTGAAAAGATAATAGTCTATTTTTATAGTCCTTTAGAAAGACTCTTTTTGGTTCTGTACAAAACTACAGATAATAAATTCAAGAGGATTTAATGAGTTAATTGTGCCCATGAGAGGTTATCTTGATGTTAGACTTGGTGTAGCATGTTGCATGTCACATGACCTATATATATCAATACAGTGAGATGTTATTACCATGATATCTATTCTGCTCTTTATCGGAAAAAAAGAATATCTATTCTGCTACCATCTTCGTATTATTACTCTTTCATTGAAAACTTATACTTAACTTGGTATTGAGGGGCTGTTATGGTACTGGAAGTCTGCTGCATTGTTCTATCTACCATCGACCATCATTACTAAAAAAATTGTTCTTCTTGCTGTTGGTCACTTTGTGCAGAGAGCAGTTCGTTGTCAAACCTATGATGTGGTTTGACTAATTAGGCCAGGATCTGAGAATCACATGAGCTGGTGTAGATTGTAAACTCTGAACCTAAGCGAATTTGTTTATTGCAGTTTGCAAGTGCTTTGCTGGTGATGTTTTTTTTACGGTGGAAAAGGGAGTATTACTTCTCAGTGATAGATGTACAATCAGCTGCTAAGAATTCGGTTACAATGATAGGAAGACCCTCTAGCCACATATGGGCACAGTCCCTTGAGAAACTTGCGAATGCATCAGCACATCTATTTTGTTTTCCTTTGAGCAGAACAATAGAAAACACCTTACTACCAGTAAGTAGGTAGCTCGTGAACTTCAGCTACCAGGTGCCCCATCGTAGAGTGATCCTTCTCCTTACTTTCTAGGCCAGTTTCAGCCTTTTCTGTTTGGCGCACTCGACCACTCTGGGAAGTCATCGTGCACTCAAGCCTAGGAACTTCCGGTAGACAGCAACTCGATACGGCTAGCTTTGCTAGCTAGCTACGTAGTCAAACTGTACAATGTACAACGTACAACTGTTGTTATCTTTCTTATCTCCTCCCAATTGCACAATCAATTTTTGTAAGGAATTTCACCACAACAGTATTATTGTAAATAGTATGCTGAAATCAGCAAAATGTGGTCATAGGCTTAGCCATTGAAGATTATGTTTTTTTCCTCCCGTTGTAACGCACGGGCCCTTTTGCTAGTATATTCTAAACTTTGAAATCAAGAATTTAAGAAAAATGTTAATTTAGCGTAAATGTTTTGTTAGCGTAACTTAAGAAAATGTTGATATATTTGAAAAAGTAGACATCAAAACATATATTTGAAAAAATATTAAACATGTATATAGGAAAGTTAAACCTGGATAAAAAATGTTTTAGATATATACCAAAAAAGTATAATGTGCATGAAAACAATATACATTAAAACATATATTCAAAAAATGTTAATCATGTAACTAAAAATATATTAAACGTGTAAACAATTTTTTTGGATATATAATAAAAATATATGATGTGTAAAAAGAAAACATATGATAATCGGGAAAGAAACAAAGAAACCCAAAGAAAAAGAAAAAATGAAACCGAGGAGAACTAGTAAAAAAGAGAGTGAAAAACAAGAAAGAAACAAAGAAAAATACGAGAAAAAAGAAAAATCAGAAAAAAAATAGAAAAGCAACCAAATAATATAGCTAACGACCTTCTTCGTCCGAAACCCGAGCGAGCCGCCAGCGTACAGAAAAAAGAAAAGATAGACTGGGCAATACCTACGCGAGGGACTAAAAACTTCACCCAGGGGAGCATGTATCTCGCTATAAGCTTTATATGGCTCCCGCACGCTCGGTGGTCCATAATCTTACACTCCCTCCAGTTGCGTAATGTAGTGTGTATAGTTTTTTTTTTTTTGAAAAGTGAACCTTTTGAAAACGTTGATCAAGTTTATAGGGAAAACTATTTATATATACAATACCAAATATATGAAAGATGAAACTACATCTTACCATGAATCTAATAGTATATGTTTGACATTTTAGATGCAAGTATTTTTCTTCACAAACTTGGTCAAAATTTGTGAGGTTTGAATCTTCAAAAAAATACATATGCACTAAATTAGATATGGAGGGTGTATGTTTTACGAAAAAGTTTTTCTACCGGTGCAGGGATGTACCGGTGTGTAATCCACCGTTCACCACTTTTGTCAAGATTCGTGCAGGTTTTATACACTTTCTTTTCATATGCAAGTACAGCAGATTAAACAGAGCTATACTAGTACTTGTGTCAGACAATGTCAGATTTTACATAGGAGAGAGGGAGAGGTGCAGAGAATAGTGCATGCGTGCATTTCTCACCACATACACGGCTGCATGTGTTCTCTTTCTCCATACAATTGACATGTATTTAATTTCATCCTCATATTTTGAATGACTAATATCTGTTAAACGAAACGTCCATTATTGAAACTTTTTATATATTCGGAATCGTGATGACAAGATCTTCAGAACAAGATCAATCTTCGATATACTTAAACTACTTCTAATTTTCTATATTTCAGTTATCTTTGAAATGACTTTCAGAAAACACAAAATTGTTTCGCAGTGAAATGATTTTATTTCACACATTTTAAAAGATGGATTTAGGCTCATTCAAAATTTATTTCACTCATTTTCTAAAGATGGATTTAGGCTCATTCAAAATTTATTTCACACATTTTCAAAGGATGGATTTAGGCTCGTTCAAAATTTATTTCACACATTTCAAAAACTGATTTCACTCATTTCATCAAAAAACCGATTTCACTCATTTGATATAACTGATTCCAGTTGTTTGAACTCGTTTCAATTGAAAGAAAAACATGTTTTAATAATTTCCAAAAGCAAAGTTCGCCCATTTGATACTCGATGCCAGGAACTGATTTCAATTACTTCAGAAAACATATTTCACACAATTCAAAAAGTTATCAATTGAAAAAACAATTTCACTCGCTTCATAAAACAGATTTCGCTCATTTATAAAAATACAATTTCACTTATTTCAAAACATTTGTTTCACTGAATTAAAAAACTTATTTCACTTATTTCAGAAAATTGATTTCAATCATTAAAAAAACCCATTTCTTTATGTTCAAAAAACCAATTTTACTCATATGAAGAAACTTATTTCAATCATATGAAGAGAATAATATTACTTGGTTGTGAAAACATATTTCACTTAGTTGATGCAAAGAACTGATTTCAATTATGTCAAAAAACCTATTTCACACACTTCAAGAAGTTATCAATAGAAAAAACAATTTCACTCGCTTCATAAAACAGATTTCGCTCATTTATAAAAATACAATGTCACTTATTTCAAAACATTGGTTTAACTGAATTAAAAAAAAGTATTTCACTTACTTCAGAAACCTGATTTCACTCATTTCAAAAAATATATTTCACTAGTGCCGCATCTCTGAAATAACAAGTTCACATTGAAATATGTTTCATATGCATGATTGTTTTTCTTCAGAAAACGGTTTCAATTATTTCAATACCGATTACAATTATTTGGAATAAGTAATTTTGAAATGAGTGAAATTGGAATTTCGATATGATTGAAATAGCAAAAATTAAACTAGTTTAAATACATTCAAGATTGGTCTTGTTCTAAAGATCATGTGTTCAGGAATTTGAATATATAAAAAATTTCAGTGATAGATCATTATCAGGTTGGTCATCTAAAATTTTAAACAAAGAGAAAATGCATGGATATGTTGGAGAGAGATGATGCATGTACCACCTCTGTAAAAAGTACTACACTATCCTGACACTGATTTGACTAAAATCAGAAATACAAGAGGTGCTCTTCACCAAATACTTTCATATATACATGCATATGGTCCCACAACTTTACACACGTCAGTACATCATTGGTGGAAAGACCACCGGTAGCTCCCCGCTCCGGTAAAAATGACTTTGCGGTATGTTTTAGCGTGGCGCTGGATAAGCTTTGAAGAAGACTAAACCTCGAATGGTTTCTTCAAAATTGAGACAATCGTGCTGTAAACAACCCCTAAAAAAATGGCAGTGGTTGACGTACACGGATATGTGTCGGCTGATTGTCTCACCAACCTCGGTACACAGCAACGGTTGTCCCGACAAGCGGCGGCGCGACTCGCCGCCCTGCCCCCTGCGTCCCTCTCACGGCCGGCCTCTAAATACTACTCCTACATCACCACGGCCGCCCCCCTGCAGTAGACCCCGCAGGCAAGCCAGCGAGATCGGCGCGTCGCGTGACTCCGCCCAGCTAGTAAAGCAGCGCCGATGGTGGAGATCCCGGTGGTCGACCTGCGGCTCGCCGGCGCGCAGCCGGAGGAGTCGGCGCGGCTGCGGGACGCGTGCGAGCGCCTGGGCTGCTTCCGCGTGTACGGCCACGGCGTGCCCGCGGCGCTCCAGGTGGAGATGAAGGCCGCCGTGCGCGCGCTCTTCGACCTCCCCGACGAAGCCAAGCGCCGCAACGCCGACATCATCGCCGGCAGCGGCTACGTCGCGCCCAGCCCCGCCAACCCGCTCTACGAGGCCTTCGGCCTCCTGGACGCCGCCGCCCCCGTCGACGTCGACGCCTTCTGCGCGCGCCTCGACGCGCCGCCCCGCGCCAGGTCGGACCAAATCGGCCGCGCCTCTCTTGGCACCAAGTCAATTTCGGATCCTCCAATTTTGACCTCAGCACACGCTAATCTGTCGCAGGGAGACCGTCAAGAGCTACGCCGAGGCGATGCACGAGCTGATCGTGGACGTCGCCGGCAAGGTGGCCGCGAGCCTGGGGCTGGAGGGCCACCCGTTCCAGGACTGGCCGTGCCAGTTCCGCATCAACAGGTACAACTACACGCAGGACACCGTGGGGTCCTCGGGCGTGCAGATCCACACGGACTCCGGCTTCCTCACCGTGCTCCAGGAGGACGACTGCGTCGGCGGCCTCGAGGTGCTGGACCCCGCCACCGGCGAGTTCGTCCGCGTCGACCCCGTCCCCGGCTCGTTCCTCGTCAACATCGGCGACGTCGGCACGGTATCATCGATTCGTTTCAGCTCTAAATTCTTGGCGAATTCGTTTCCGTCCGGTGCGCTGAGCCTCTGAGTGAGCACCCCGTCTCGTGTTTCAGGCGTGGAGCAACGGGAGGCTGCACACCGTGAAGCACCGGGTGCAGTGCGTGGCGGCGGTGCCCCGCATCTCGATCGCCATGTTCCTGCTCGCGCCCAAGGACGACAGGGTGTGCGCGCCGGAGGCGTTCGTCGACGCGCAGCACCCGCGCCGGTTCAAGGCGTTCAACTACGATGACTACAGAAAGCTCCGGCTGTCCACCGGCGAGCGCGCTGGCGAGGCGCTCGCTCGAATGGCTGCGTGACGTAGCTATCTGGCGGGGCTTGTTTAGGTTCGAGACTGTAAACTCTGAGCTGTTCAGAGAGAGCTAAGCTTCAGTCGATTATTGACGGTTGAACCAAGTGAGGCTGTGAATTGTCGTTGTTTTCATCTATCAATAAAATCTTGTACGTACTCTAAAAAAAAGCTGGTACGAATTGCAAAAGTGAAAACTGCAAAAGGTGCAAACACGACAGCAATCTTTTTTTATTTTTATTTTTTTCAGCCAATTATTATTCTTAGAGCAACTAGTGGTCATGTGGGCAGCCCACCATGTTTTTGAAGGTTGCACGCAAGCAAATACCAAGTCATCGTTATTTGCAATCATCTGAAGTGTTGTGCTTACCTTTTCAGCGGCTCATCCATCCTCAAATTGCTCTAGATTAAGCACGTTTAACTTTAAGATTTCTTTTGAATGAGCTCATGAAAAAAAAGTTGCAACTTGTTGATATGAGTGGTCTATCATTTCTATTAAATGGGGATGTCACATCTGCCATCAAATCCATCTACACATAATGTGAATCATGTGTCATTTATGAGCCGCTAAACAAAATATGCAAGAAAAGTTTGAAGAAATTTACCTCCAGGCAAGCTGCCGAACACCTTGAGGGCGCGCGGTCGAAGGGATGGCGTGGCCGGACTACTGGAAGAAATTGCAAAGCTGCGAGGAAGCGTGGGAAGTCCAGCGACGTCTCAGCGGTGGCGATTGGGGCCAAATCACGGCGGTTCAGGCGGCAGAGTGGCACCAAACATAGGCGGCGTGGGGATGTGGGCGGTGACGGAAGGGAGCACACGTTTTGAAATGTCTATGGCGCTAATTTTTAGGTGGATGAAGTGCACATGTCTTGCCCAATCTTTAAATATGGAGGCTCGCGAGTTGGATTTGGAGCACCCACCAAAAATACGGCGATAGAGGATGGGATGAAACTCTGCTAAATGGGCCTTTATGGAAGAACCTGGCATAATGGTAGTTTTTATGAAGATCAGGCCGATATAATGACTTTGCTAAAGTTGCTCTTACCTCACATCCCTTCGATGGCGGGAGGTGGCGGTGGTAGAACAAGGTTCTGGACGAGGATATAGGTGGCGGTCAAATCGGGAATGGATGGAGACACATGTGTGGGGCTAATATTATTAGAGATATATTTGGTTTACATGTATTTTGTCGGAGTAAATGATCACGGGTAGCCTAGCCGGCTCCCCCTAGCCCTTCTGAAAAAATTACGAGCCGATCCGGCCCTTAAGAATTCAAGACGTTGGGCTGCCTTCCCCTTGCCGGCTGTCTTCCAGGCCGACTATCGGAAGGCGGCCCGGCTTTAACCCTCATGAAGAAAGCCGCGGGAGGGCCGGCTCCAAGAAGCCGGCCGCAAGAAGCCGACTCCCACAAAGCGGTCAAGATCGTACCCTCGAAGTCTGCATCCACATAACGGCGATGTAACGGGCGTGGCTACAGTAAAGCCTGCCACCCCCGAATCTCGGAGCACGCCTGGCACAGTGCGCCGTACGGGATGGCCATGACCCGTCCGACGCGGCACTGTTGCCATGTTGACCCTGATGTCACCCACGAAGGGCTGTCAGCGCGGCCCACGGGCGGTGGGCACCTTCAGGCAGAGAGACACCCGAAGGCGGCCAGGCCTCCCCCAGTCGGCCCAAGACGGGGTCGGCTCCCCGCAGCCGGCTTGCTTCCTCCCTCGAAGGAGACGCCCCATTAAGGGGACAAGACGAGGCGTGGCTACAGCGATCGCCCGCCGGGCGGCGACACTATAGCCATGCTTACCTCGGCGAAGCCCTCGTCACCAGGTTTGAGGCAACAGTGACCAGCCACCGACAAGGCCCTTGACAGTGGGGCCTGCCTGTCGACCAAGGAGCCGGCAGCCGGCGGGACCCACTAGCCGGCGGGCCCCAGCAGCCGGCGCAGAAGTCGGCGGGCGTAGACATAGACGGCTGGGGCCCAGGCCCAGCCGGATTACCATTGTACCCCCGGGGGTGGGCCTATATAAACCCCCGAGGCACCCATGCAAAGGGTTGAGCTGAGCTAGTTTTAGACACCACATAGAGAGGAGAGGAGAGCTAGTCGTGCCCTTCTTCTTCTTCTCGCCAAACAACAGCTCAAGGAGCATCTTGTAGCCACTCGTTCATCTAGTGATCATGCGGAGACCCCGCAGAGCAGCAGTAGGGGTGTTATCTCCTCGGAGAGCCCTGAAGCTGGGTAAGATTCGTCGGCGTGCATGTCTTCGCCTCATCCCGCTTCCAGACACCGGCGATGTCTTACTGGCTCCCACAATGATAAGCCACCCGTTGGCATATGTCACACCTACCACCCGACATTTGGCGCCCACCGTGGGGCCAGGTGCACCGTCGTCCGGAGACCTGTCCTGAACGGGAACCCTCTTCCTCCCCAGCGAGCGTAGCCAGCCCGGCACGCCCGATGGCGCTTGCCACGACGCGCTGCAAGGCGTCGCCAACGTCTGCGCAGCGAGCGGCCTCGCTGATCTCCTTGACGAGACCCTCATCTCCGACGAGCCCGCCTCTGACGCGGGCACCGACCACCTCGTCAACCTCCTCGGCCAGCTCCACGTCTCCGGCGAGCTTGCTGTGGACTTGGAGTCTGTTGGCTCCACCAATCCGATGCCTGTCGACTCCGACACGGCCTCGCTCGACGCTTTCCCCATCGACGTCGCGATCTACAACGACCCGCTTCCCCGGGCCGATGGCTGCGACGGTGCCATCACCGCGGTGATGGTCATCGGCCACGGCGGCGCTTCTGGCGAGAACGCCCTCGACGCCCCGCATGCAGCGGTCCACGACTTGTCCATCCCCCTCCCGGCCAATGCCGACACCGAAGCACTGGAGGCTCGCCGCCTCGCCCTCCTCGCGGAGGGCCGGAAGTTGGCTTCCATGAGACGCCTCACCGAGGCCCACCAGCGCGAAGCCGACCGCGCCGCCATTGGCACGCCGCCCCCAAGCGGGCCAAGCCGAGCCGGCGTTGTCAGATAGCGGAGCTGCCCTCGCCGACACGCTAGGAGTCGACCGCCCAGTCTACGCCACTCCACTCGAGAACCTGCGCGCCGCCCAGGCGGCCGTAGATGAGCTAGACGGACTGGGGGCCAAAGAACTCCCCCACATGACCAAACACATCCAGCAACTAATCGATGCAGCCGCACAGCGGCACGAAGCCGACGCCCGCGCGGAAAGCCCTCCCCCGCGCCGAGAGCACGACGCGACGTCCCGGACACCGACTGCGGGTAAAACCTGTGCGCGACACGAGAAGGAGCCGGCTGTCAACCGAAGCCGAACCCGGACCTCCATCGAGCGAGACGCAGAAGGCCGTCCCCAGGCCGTGGAGCGGCGGGGCAACCCGCCTCCGCCTCCGCCTCATGGGGAGAGATATCCCACCCCACCGCCTGTCGCGCATCCGACTCTCAGCGGCCGACTAGGACTCCGTGAAGGAGTCGGCGAGAACGACGCCCGCCATCGGATCGACCGCCTAGCGCGATCCCTGGCGCTAGAAGAAGAAGATGATGTCGGCCCGCCTTGCTTCGCCCCCCGCATCCGCGATGAGCCTTTCCCCAAAGGGTTCTCGCTCCCAAGAGACACGCCCAAGTACAACGGCTCCGTGAAGCCGGAAGATTGCTTGATCGACTACTCCACAGCGGTTCGCATAGCAAACAACAACGGGCGCGTTGCCGTGAAGTACGTGCCCCTCATGCTGCAAGGCACGACGCGGACCTGGCTCAATAGCCTCAGGCCCCACAACATCAACAGCTGGCTAGACTTCACAGAGGCCTTCGTCCGCAACTTCACCAGCACCTACAAGCGGGCTCCCAAGCCCAGACAGCTCTCCTTGTGCGTACAAGGCCCCGCCGAATCCACTTGCGACTACCTCACATGTTGGGCCGAGCTCCACAACTCTTGCGAGGGGGTGCACGAGGTGCAAGCCATAGAATACTTCACCGCCGGATGCCGAGAAGGCACCCTCCTCAAGCACAAGCTCCTCTGCGACGAGCCGACTACCCTCGACGAGCTTCTGGTCATAGCGGACAAGTACGCCACCGCCAACTCCTCAATGAAGACTGAACTCCGGGTAGACACGTCCGGGAAGGTAATCAACCCGGCGCCCAAGACGCCGGCTGGGGACTCCGGCCGACGCCCGTACCAGAACGACCACAAACGCAAGGGCCCCGTGCCGCTCTCCACCAGTCGGCAGGTGGTCACAGTCGAGGACAAGCAGCCCGGAGGGCGGCCCGCACCCAAGAAGCAGAAGGGCGGCAGGCCGGCTTGGCAGGTGGCCTTCTCCCATGAGCAAACTCTCGACGCCCCGGGCAAGTTCCACAGCGGCGCGAAGCCGTCCAACCACACAACCCGGAAGTGCCACTGGCTCACCCGAATCTCCAAAGGTGAAGGGCCCGCGCCGTCTCCGCCTGCTGGTCCGCCGCCTCCGGCTCCGCAGCTGCCGACCGCTCGGCCAGCAGTCGGAGTTGTGCACGATGAGTTCCCCGACGAGCATGCCGCCTATGTCGTCTTTACAAGCCAGCCCGAAGGCCGGTGTAGCAGACGCCGAGAGCACCAGGAAGTCAACGTGATCGCTACCAACCCCGCCGAGCACATGCACTGGTTAGAAAATCCTATCAGCTGGAGTCGGGCCGACCACCCAGAGGTGATGCCATCTCCCGTCTCTTATGCGTTGGTTTTGGATGCCACCCTTGCAACGGACAGGCGCGCCGCCTGTTTCTCCCGCATGCTGATAGACGGCGGGAGCAGCATCAACATCTTGTACCGTGACACCCCGGAGAAGCTGAACGTCAAGATGAAGCAACTCATGCCTACTCAGACTGTGTTCCATGGCATTGTACCTAGCCTGTCCTGTGCTCCCATTGGCAAGATCAAGATTGATGTTCTCTTTGGGGACAAGGATCATTTCCGCCAAGAAGCGATCTAGTTTGAAGTGGTGGACCTGGAGAGCCCCTACCATGCATTGCTTGGCCG